CTTTCTTTCTTAATGATGATGGGTGAACCGCCGCGAGCGGCAAATTGCCGGCAATGCATGGGGCCATTGGGGGGTCTAGGGGGAAACGGTTGTATCAACTTCTGCGGATTTCATTCGCTCTCCACAACATGTCTGACCCTCGAGGCAATAACGGGAAGGGCCCCACGGAGTCCTTTTCGGCAACGGGGAAAAGGGCGGAGGGTAGTAGAAAAGGTCACAACACGAAGACCTTTGACTCCCCTTTTAAGGTGGATCCAAAGGCGGATGGAAAACGAGATGATCCTGTTTGGCATTTCGTTGCTCGTGGTCGTTATTTAGATGGATCCACTGCGATCGGGAGGAAGAACGGTCGCCGTTGTTTGTGCAGGTTATGCGGTCGTTCTCTATGTGGGGGTGTTCGTGAGGCGAAGGAACACTTATTTCGTGGCGAGGGGTATAGATGCCAAGTGGCCACTCCGGCGGTGTGGCACGCGATTTGGTCAAAGGATATGTCCAAGTGTCCTGCACATTTGGCTTCTGCCGTGCAGGCCTTGCAGAGTCTCCCTCTAGTCATCCCTCTTTTGAATGGCCACCTCTTCGTTTTCCCGATGACGTCGTTCCGCCGCCCCCGTCGACCGCTGCCCCCTCGCAAGTGGCGCCATCTCCATGTGCACTGCTTGCTCCCCTCCCCCCTCGTCCGCTTCGTCAGACGATTCTCGCATCCGTTGATGGCAGACCATCTGTGGCAACGCAGCCTGATGCGCAAGGCACCGTGCCAGTTTCAGGTGTCGGGGAACTTGTGTCGTTCGACGAGCAAGGCACTCGTGCTTTCGTCGAGGGCGGTGGGTGGGGGAAGGACATTGGCACATCATCAGGCCTCGCCCCGTTGTTCACTAGCAACAGGGACAAGGTCCCAAGAGTTCGACGCACACACACACGTTCGGCCGTGGCAGGAGCACCAGCAACAGGACATCAATCCGCTGCGTATCCATGGTTGCCTCCCCCTCCTTCGCAAACACGACGGCCTACACCAGACTTGACTTCGGCACCTGTTGGCGAGGCCGCTGCAACGGCCACTGAGGGTGCGGGAAACGTCCAGCTCGACGAACCCGTCCAGGTTTCGGATTCGTCACCCACTCCTGTACCCGTGTACGGCCCGACCTCGCAGCACGGTGTTTTTGGGACATTGGATCCTTTACAGAATCTGCGCAACATTGCAGCTCCGAGTCCAGGCCCCACCGCATCACCTGCGGCCGGGGGCGGGGTGTGGGATTCGCTAGGTATGGGCGCCGGTGCACGAGTGAGGGGCACTTACAGGCAGCAGGCGGTGACCTCGTATTACAACGACCCGCTGGAGCACGCATGGCACCTGCAGATCATGCGATTCATTGTCGAGAGCGGCATGCCGTTCAACTGTGTGAAGCTTGAGAGCTTCAAACGCATGTTGACGTTGATCATCCCGCCTGGGGTTCTAGGAGTCCCCACCCCAAAACCCCCAATGTATCACATGATCCGTACCACACTTTTGGATGAGCTTGATGTGGAAATCCAAAAGTGTGTGAAACCTGTCCTCGCTACTGCAGCTACCTACGGTTGCATGATAATGACAGACGGTTGGACGAACATTCGGGGCCAAACGTTGTGCAACTATCTCGTCCACACTACACGGGGCGCCACATACGTCGCGACAGATGTTATGCGAGGAAAGAAGGATGCCACTGCTYTGGCGCAGGCTTGGCTGCGAAGGTTGAAGTCCCTTGACATCAAGCTCGCCGACATCACCGCTTTCGTCACAGACTCTGCCAGTTCGAACTTTTCTGCGATGGAGGTGTTCCAGAAGGATGAGAGTGTCAAGCGTATCTTCTGGATTCCTTGTGTGACACACGTCATGGACCTCATCCTTGAGGACATCGGCTGCATTGACTGGGTGGCGACCCGCATTGCTCAGGCGCGTTTGGTCACAAAGTTTTTCAAGCGTCATAGCCACGCTCGCGAAGTTTTGCAAGCTTTCACGACGAAGGCTCTGCTGCTTCCCGCCGAGACTCGCTTCGGTACGCATGTGATTATGATGCGACGACTTCTTCTTCTGCAATCACATCTTATGCAGGTGGTCGTTGATGATCGATGGAAGGACACTGTTTGGTCAACGAAGAAGATTCGAGACGACGCAACGGAGGTCACAGCATGTGTCGGTTGTCCACAATGGTGGGAGGAAATGAGAACGCTGTGCAAGTTGTTGGATCCCATCATGGACATGCTGCAGATGGTGGACAGCGACACGAGGCAGATTGGCAAGATTCTGTGTCGGTACGACGAGATGATCGCGCGTTGTTTGTCTGCATGTGCCGCTTTGGAGAAGGACGAGCAGGACGCGCTGCTTGAAGTGTTTGACAGACGCCGCACCATGTTCAAGTCGCCTGCTCATGTTGCTGCCATGATGTTGGACCCCGAGTTTCGAGACCCCACGATGCCAGATGACGAGGAGATGCAGCACGGTTTGAAACTCGCTCTGATTCAGTTTGGGTATCCGGAACATTCGGATCAGCACAACGAGGTCCTCACTGCCATTGACAAGTTCCATTCCAGGGAGCCGYCGTTCGACGACGTGGCCATGGACCGGGCGGCGAGGAGCTATACCCATCCCGCCTGTTTTTGGGAGTCGAAGGAGAAGAGGTTCCCGCACACGGCCTTCTTCGCTGGCAGGATACTGCGTGTGTGGGCGACTGCGTCGCCTTGCGAGAGAGCTTGGTCCCGTTGGAGTTTCATCCATTCCAAATCTCGTAACAGATTGGAGGTGGCGCGGGCCGAGAAGCTCGTGCGATGCCATTGGAACCTTCGGCTCCTCRACAGGCAGGCTATGTCGGACGAYGCTCCCAGTGACAGGCCACRTCCGTWTGGGAGCTGGGTGCACTACTGGCAGCAGGTGGAGGAGGAGGTGCCCACCGACCAGCAGCTTGTGGCAGACCGAGGAGCCCGTGTGACGGTCACGAAGGAGGAGTTGACGCAGGCGAGAGAGAGGATGCGCGTCGTGTCCCGCATGGGAGCCACTCGTCGCTTGCGGGAGTCTGA